TGCCGAGTTGAGCCCATGTTATTACTTCGAGTAGCTCCTCAAGTGTACCGTAACCACCTGACACCACATAACACCATAAGAATTCTCGGTTAAATTAAATTAGATTCTATTAACCCAAACCATAGACTGAAAATTCACAGCGCCAGCGTTTTATAGACATACGGTAATTTAATTATTATATTGAAATTACTATCCACGTAAATTAGTTTGGAACTTTGTACAGGATAACTCTGAAACTAAATAATAATTTCTGGAAAATTTTCGCTTTCGGTTAGGAGTAATTATTAGAATTAATTTCCTTCGTTGACTTCAGGATAAAAAGTCAATGCACTTGTAGGTCAAGGGCCAAGCACTAGTTCGGTCATCATTGCAACATATTCTCTTCAATTACCTTTATGCCCCTCCCGAATACTCCCACTCGTTACTTTATCATATACCACCAAATATTACGAAACGATTAATAAATATGACTTTGTTATTTATTAAAATCAAAATTTCAGATATCTCTAGAGGCGTAATTCAGTTAAAAAAAAAAATAGTATAAATGTGTATTTACTTTTTATCTGGTTAGAAATGTAAGACAAGGAAATCAGATAAACAATATAAAAAAAATATAAATTTAATTTGCAATAGTGCTAAAGGGAAAAATACAAAGGTAACTGTATAGCTCTGATTTTCAGTGCTTTAGAGTTTAGATGTTGATGGGTCAAGGGACTACGGTGCTTTTATCATCCACTTTATATCTTTACATACATATTATATGTATATTGATTTGACCTTTATACCCTTGGGATCTGCAAAGCAGTTAGTGGCATCATGACTCATGATTCGGCACCTATAAAGGGTTTGGGTTTCAGAACATAAGTCGGTTCCCATAAGTAGCACCAGCCACATGTTATGAACATACAATCTTAATATAGTAAAATTTCACCTAATCAATAATATTCATGTGTGGAGTGTGTGTGTGTATATATATATATATAACATTCAAATGTTGTCGTGCGACCTTATGTACATTGTGGGTGGATATTTTTGGTTCAAACTAGTGGAATTCGAAATGCTTATAAAAAAAAATTCAAAGATCAAACGGAAATATTTTTTTTAGAAAAAAAGTATATAAATTTAAAAGAAAAAATCGAAAAAAACAAATTCGAGAATAACACAAAATTTTCGTCAACAGTATGTTATATATATATATATATATGTGTGTGTGTGTGTGTGTGTGTGTGGTGGACATGAATAATGTAAAAAGAAAGATAAGAATAGAGAGAGAGAGAGAGAGAGAGAGAGAGAGAGAGAGAGAGAGAGACCAGGTAAGGCAATGAAAGCATCAGAGTGCTTAGCCATCTCAGCCTTTCTCTGATGCATGTCTGCAACTGGCCTCACCTCTCCTACTGTTTCTCCAGTAAGCTGCTTTGAAGGAAGATGTGACGATAATTATAATTACATATAAATCTTCTTCATTAATTAAACATATTAACATGTAAGTAAGACTAATTAAGGTTACCTCCCGAAGCATGAGGATCTTGGGAATGACTCTGCGCATTCATCACTCAAGATATATAAAGGATGTTATTATTATTATGACGTAATCAACATTGAATCAATTAGGGTTTATCATATTACATATATATATATATATATGGACAGTCTCCATACCCAATAACATGGCGACCACCGTCGTGAACAGCTTGCGAGACCAAACCCATCAAACCTATGCTTCCTCCTCCGTAGACAAGATCGATTTTCTTCAACACCTGCCCAAAGTTTACACCTTTTCCTTGATCATTTTCCATATCAAAGTGTTTTATATATACATGTATATATATACAACAAAGATATATATATATATATATACAACAAAGATATATATATATATATATATATATATATATATATATATATAGGCCAAATTTTTTGTGAAACATTTTTATTTTAAAAAAAAAAACAATTGAGAAAACAAATGTGTCGACGGTAATACCCACACACACGCACGCTATATATAAAAAATATATATATATATATATATATACAAAAAATATATATATATATATATATATATATATATATATATATATATAGAACTATGTAAGACTTCTATATTCGTTTTTAGCAAGAGATTGAACCATGTTGCAACTCTTCAATCAAGCATTTCTGCCAAACCCCATGTTTTGTAATTAAGGAACTGACTAAGATACGGTCTTGAAGCAAACTATGGATAAAGTTAAGGTTTTGACAGAAACCCAGCAATTGTGTCGATCGGATTTTACCTTGTTAACACCATCAAAAAGGAAGAGAGGAGAGAGAGAGAGGGAGAGGGAGAGAGAGAAAACATGTTATTTTCATTCAGAAGAAGATGAATCAGACAGTTTGGACGTGAACCCATGATTGAAAGAAGAAGGAACACTCACCAAACACAACTCATCCTGCCTATCTAAAAGAAACCAAGACAGATATGGAAAATTATCAAACATTTCATATATATATATATATATATATGTATATGTGTATATATACATATATAGATATGCATCTATGCAGAAGCACAAGAACAAAACAGAACCCATATATGACCATCTCACGACGTGGTCAAAGAATCAAATCAAGCTCTGACATGTATATATATATATATATATATGTATATGTGTGTGTATTTATATAAATATATACCAATTCCTTGCCAAGCTCAATAGCTGCATCTTGGTAGCTAGGTTTCTTGCCATGGCTGCTTCCACAGAAGACACAAATCCTCCTGAACCTCGAGCTCTGTCTCTTCTTCATTTCTCTCTCCTCCTCCATTTTTTTTTCCTTTCTTTAAAAGATCTGTGTGTTCTGTTTTTATGTTTTGGAATAAATAGATATATAGATACAATTGTGAATTCACAATTGGACAAACCTCTTTAACACTCTCTCTTGGTCTTGCCCATGTTCCCTTCCTCTTACTTATAGCATATGATGATGTGTTCTGCCCTTTTTTTTTCTCCCTAATCCTCGTTTTTTTCATTGAGATATAATTGTATCCAAACAAAATTCATTATAAATATTGAATGGATATTATTCTTTTAAATTGAAAGAATGAATCTGAAAATAACAGAAGAACTGAAATTTCTTAAAAAATAGAATACTTTATCAATAAAAAAATCTAATTAAGAAATCAAATAAATTCAAAATAAAAAAAAACAGATAGATATATATATATATTTAAAAAAATATTGTAAAAAAATACCCAAATCAATTAAAAAAAGTCGTATAGTTTTTTATTTATTTTAAAATTAAATAAAAAAAGTCGATAGATATTATTCAAAAGGGAAGGAAATAGAGGCACGTGAGGGGCGTGGGAGCACGCGTGTTCCTCCCCCCACACACCTTTTCTCTGTTCCCTTCAAACACTTAGCCTCCATAACACACACCCAACACAACTCAATTGTGGTCATGCGTGGACCACTCTCTCTCTCCCTCTCTCCAATTAATTGGTTTGTGTTTTAATTTTATTTTATTTTATTTTTGTGTCTGTTATCGTTGTCTGCTTTAGAAAATATACAATAATAACAACAAAATATTTACATCATGAGTAATAAAATAATTCTGAAAAATATAAATGATAAAACAAAAGGCATCATGCATAGAGTTTGAGTAAACCAAATTCTTTTTGGTTAATTAGGGATTCTTTATCACTGTTTTTCCAAACATCTATCTGTAAAACATTTTTTTTTATTAGAACAGATACACGACATCATATATATGGAAAATAAAATATTATCATGTTTGATATATAATTTATGATGCATACATATTTACGAAGATTTTTTCAGAAAATTATCACAATATGAGATTTGATTATGTATTTATATTATTAAATAAATATTTACTATAACTATATTTTATCTATAAAAATAAAAATTGAAATATTTACTTATTTATTTGTTAGAATGTTCAGTCAAATATTCAACTAACTGAATTAGATATTACATCATAATTTGAAATTAGTATATCAAAATCTAGTGAAATAGTAGTATAATTGATAATGCATGTTAAGATCCATAGTTATAATATGGAATTATAATTTTCCCTCAATATTTTTTTTAACCCTGCTTTGTTTTTTCGACAACTGAATATAGGTGATGTGATATTTGAAAAGTGTTATATACTCATGGATGATTTTCTCATGATTGTTATTTGGACTTTTTTCTTAGTTTTGGATAAATGAAATGATTAGAGAAATATATTAAATATATAAATAAATCCATGTTGGAAGAATAAAAATGGTGATTTATTTTTTTTATATCAAGTGTACCCTTTGCTAGAATAATAAAAAAAATCGCCCGCACGCATGATATAAATAAATTATGAAAGGTTAAAAAAAATACTCTTTTTTTTCTGATAAGCTTTTATTACTCTTCACATTTGCAACTTGTAAAAAAAAGGAGAGATAATTAAAAAGTTTGATGGATATGAAACAAATTAGGGGTGGAAAAAATAAAATTTATCCTTACCGTGATTTCGTAATATTATTAGCTTTATTCCCGATCACTATTTTTTGCTTTTAAATGTTATTTTATGCCGAAATTATGTGTGTGTGTGTGTATATAATTATAACCAGAGTATAATTAATAAAAGTGGAAAATTCGGACAGAGAATCTGTAGGGAGTGGGTTGCGATGACACGTGGCGGCATAAGAGTGGATGACGCCACGCCGATCACCAATTATCTTCCGAGATCACACGATGCCCGCCACAATGTAGTTTGTGGACCTTCCAAATAGGCCAGGTTTTTTTTTTATCTAGAAAAGAAAACCCTAATTTGAAACAACTAAAATATTAATCGATAACTGAAACATTTATATTTTAAAAGTTATTAGGAATTTTAAAATAATTTTAAATAGTGAAGATATTGAAATGAAAAAAAAATAAGTATGTGAAAGTTTTATTGATAATTTTATATAGTTGTACGAATTTTGTTTTCTTTTTCAGTTTTTCGGATTGGACCAAATTTTGTGTTAGAGTACCCAAAACTATAAATTCAGACATAAGACAATATTAGATATAGCATATAGGTCCAGTTACTCACTTTTGGAAACATTCAACGCATGTCATGATAACAAATGTGTATATATATAAATACATTTATATAATTTATCAATTCGTGAGATAAATTAATAATAAACCATTTAACCATGAAAAATAGCCGAAGTTGAACTTATGTGAGACCCAAAGTGTGTGGGCTATGAAATTAGTCAACAGCGTAATTGCTGATAACTTGGACTCATTTCCCTCACCACTAAATTATGAGGAAATAATGTTCGTTGGGGTTATTACTATTTTTAAAATCAGAAAAAAATAATAAATAATATCCTAAAAATACCAGTCCTTTTCGCTCACCCAGAAATTTCTGTATGTATGTATGTATGTATGTATATATGCATATATATATATATATGTGTATGTATATATGACATATTAAACTAACGGTCAAGCAACATGTTACTGCAAAGCAAGATTTGGCAACAGTAAAGCTCCGATATCAACTTCAAAGGTACTCCAATGTTATTTAACAAACGTTACGCTGATTCCTCAACCTCCTCTCATATAGTTTTCTAATGTATTTCTATGCATATTTTTTTACATGTAAATACTCATTTATTGACTGAATAATTATACTATATTATAATCTTATATTTTTTCCCCATTCATTTCATCAAACTATATAAGCATTTGCACCATCTGCGGTTTCTTCATCACAACTTATCCAACCAAAAAACGAAATAGAAGTATTCTTCGTTTTATGCATCGATGAACCCAAAAATGCAGAGAATTATCCGAAACCCGAGTTTTCTCCTTCTCTTGCTTTGTCTTCTCGAATTTTCCGGCCATTTTCCGGTGGAAGCCGCCATCAAGAAGTACACGTTCGATGTAAGTGTTGGATTTTCCAATGCATGGAAGTATATATATAGTGCCTTGGGTTAGACCCGGTTTTACTTAAACCGAATACGTTTGAATTAATTGTGATTTGATCGAAATCTATATGATGAAAGGATACTCTTAGTTAATACTTAGTAGATGTTTTGGTTTAATATTTTGATCAGATCCAAGTGAAAAACATAAGCCGGTTATGCCACGCTAAACCGGTTGTCACGGTTAACGGAATGTTTCCCGGTCCGACGATTTACGCAAGAGAAGGAGACCGAGTCATCGTCAACGTAACCAACCATGCACAATACAACATGTCTATCCACTGGTAAGCAAGCAATTGTCGGTCTAAACAAAAACCGAACCGGTTCTACCCTTTTCCCCGGTTCTTAACCAAATCCACCGGTTTATCTACCGGTTCAGGCACGGATTGAAACAATACCGGAACGGTTGGGCGGACGGACCGGCCTACATAACACAGTGTCCGATCCAGACGGGACACAGTTACGTTTACGATTTCAACGTGACGGGACAACGAGGAACACTATGGTGGCACGCTCACATCCTCTGGCTACGAGCCACGGTCTATGGAGCCATCGTCATCATGCCTAAGCCGGGACAACCCTTCCCGTTCCCGCAACCGCACCTAGAAACCAACATAATCTTCGGTTAGTAAATCTATCATATGAATTCGAGATCAATTTTCTGTATGCTGTTTATCAAAATGACGAATAAATTCGGAGAAACAAAGTAAAATAAAAACCTAGAAACAACAACAAAACATAAACATTCAAACTAAATCGAACCAAATTAAACCAAACCGATATAACCGACTGCATGTTCTGATAAGGTTTTACTTGTAGGGGAATGGTGGAATGGTGATATTGAGACTCTTGTAAACCAAGCCAATTCATTGGGGTCACCTCCTCCGACCTCGGATGCCCATACCATTAACGGAAAGCCCGGACCGCTGTTTCCGTGTTCCGAAAAACGTAAATTCCTCCGAATCTTGATCCATTTCGATATGATATAGAACTCATATGTGAATTCTCCATAATTTCCAATTTTGTAAGATTGATTTTGTTCGTTTTTATTTATATTATTTTGGTTAGATACGTTTGCATTGGAGGTCGAGGCGGGAAAAACGTACCTTCTAAGGATCGTAAACGCAGCGTTGAACGACGAACTCTTCTTCGGGATTGCGGGTCATAACATGACAGTTGTGGAGATCGATGCGGTTTACATCAAACCGTTCACAACCAAAGCCATCCTCCTCGGACCCGGTCAGACCACAAATGTTTTGGTCAAGGCTAACCGACCTCCAAACCGGTATTTTATGGCGGCTAGACCCTTCATGGATGCTCCTGTTTCCATTGACAACAAAACCGTGACCGCGATTCTTCAATACAAAGGGGTTCCAAACACGGTGTTACCAATTTTTCCGAACCTGCCTGCACCAAACGACACGGCTTTTGCCTTAAATTATAACAACAAACTCCGAAGCCTAAACACGGTCAATTTCCCGGCTAACGTACCATTGAGAATAGATCGCCGTTTATTTTACACGATTGGGCTAGGGATGAACCCTTGCCCGAGCTGTGTGAACGGGACGAAGCTCGTGGCTTCGTTGAACAACGTGACGTTTGTTATGCCGAAGACTGCCCTTTTACAGGCTCATTACTTCAATATGTCAGGTGTTTTTAGGACTGATTTCCCGGACCGCCCTCCAAAACCGTTCAATTTCACGGGCGCTCCTCTAACGGCTAACCTCGGGACTTCGATAGGAACGAGGCTGAGTCGGGTTGAGTTCAATACCACGATTGAGCTGATCTTGCAGGACACGAACCTTCTAACCGTCGAGTCACACCCGTTCCATCTCCACGGCTACAACTTCTTTGTCGTTGGAAGCGGAATAGGAAACTTCGATCCCAAGAAAGATCCGGCTAAGTTCAATCTCGTTGACCCGCCAGAGAGGAATACAGTTGGAGTTCCGACGGGCGGATGGACCGCCATCAGATTCAGAGCTGATAATCCGGGTAAATAAGCACATAAATGCGACATCTTTGTGATCAGATAATGTTGGATTGAACAAGAAGTGTGTTGTTACCTTTGTGTGTACAGGTGTCTGGTTTATGCATTGCCACTTGGAAGTTCATACAATGTGGGGTCTGAAGATGGCTTTCGTCGTCGAGAACGGGAATACGCCGGAGAATTCCGTTCTTCCGCCGCCCAAGGACCTTCCGCCGTGCTAGAAACCCCCAATATGTAAAAAACCGATTTCTTCTTTTCATGTTTGCAACTTCACCAGCAGAAACTGGCAGATGATTCTTTCGCAACCCGTATTCCCATTACTGATTTGTGTACGAGATTCTTATAAACCATCCCGAAAATGTATAAAAGGTGGATCGTTTCCTCGCCCCGAAAACTCATCTCATCTTAAACCCTAAACCCGATATCGGGTTTTGATCTTTGTTAGAGTGAAGAAAGAGGATAGTACCAGTAAAAGAAAACGCACAAGAACAACGAATTGAGACTACTACCGGCAATAGATTCCTTGAACGCAGAATTTTAATGATCTGACCACCATTTCATTCCGCGATTCTGTTCCGAATTTCTAAACCCTAGGCCTGAAACTCGTTCTTTCACGGTTCCGTTCGGGTATTTATCCGCCGTAGGCTTTTCGTAATATATAATGGGCTTAGTAAGCAAAATATGATGGGCTCTTTTCTGTCGCCGTTAATGGGCTTATCAACTTATCGGCCGAGTAAATCTTCTCGCACTTTCTCGAAGTTCTCGCCCCATTTTGTCACGAGATGCGTTTTTTTATTAATTATAGACTTTTGAACATTTGAAATACATCGGAAAAAAGTTTTTTAAAAAAAAATATATACATGTATATATGTTTATATTATTATTTTTTTTAAAATTTTAATAATATGTAAGTTCTAATATTATTTAACTTTTTATATAGCAAAACAAAAATTAATTTTCAAAATCAAATAGAAACTTCTAGTTTGTCCTAGAAAAGGTAATCAAACATCTTTGGCATGACGAGCATTTATTGGCCATCAAAACGTCTAAAGTTAGAAGAGTCACACGTTCAATGCACCGGGGAGAAAAAATCCAAATTACTAAATGGACGGTCAAATATTTTTAAAAACAAATAAAATTTAATAAAAAAATACTATACTTTAAAACACAAAATTTAATTAAACATAAACTGTATTATAAGATTTATTTACATTCTATTTTTCACAAAAAAATTATAAGATTTATTTAAAATCGATTTTTATTAAAAAATAAATAGTTTTTTTTCATTTTACATATCATTTGTATTCGATTAATCCCGTTTAAATAAATTACATTTCATTCATTTTCATTTTAAATACTCGAATCAAAATATTTAGTTATGTTTTGTTAAGATACATAGTTAGAAAAATGTAAAACTGTTATTTAAGAATTCAAATTAGATGGGGAACAAATTAGATTGAAGACATTGATAGTGTAGAATTTATTTTATTTTTTTTGGAAAATCGGGTCAGGAAGGGAACAAATTACATTGAAGAGGTTCTTCGTATCCAAAATTATTTTTTTTGGCAATAATAATTTCTACATTTAGATATTGTACATAATGTTTTTGTAATAATTTCACCAATAACCTCCATGATGAGAAAAAAATCCCTCGTAATAAATAAAGATTACAAGATATTTGAATTTAGGTTTAGATATTTTAAATTTTTGTATATATTTTTATCATAACAAAATTTGATCCAAAAAAATTCGAGATAAGAATTAAAAGCAATATCTTTGTTATTATCAAACCAAGGTAAAGTTGATTTTGGGCACGGAACTATAATCGGACAAAAATAATGTTTATTATATGACCAACTATCTGTATTTTTGAATTAGATACAAACATAAAATTAAATATATTATTTAAATGTAAATAAAGCCCGTCGAGGCAAAGTCATTGATTACGTAATCCAAAGGCAAGTGGTTTTGGTTGAGTCGGTCTGCCAAACACGGTGACAATAGAGACACGTCATCGCCCACCGGAATTTTCTATCTATTTTTCAGATTTTTTAAATTATTTTTCGGATTTTCTTTTTGCCTCCCTGCTGCTATAAAAAGGACCTCTTTGGTTTAGGGGGAATTCATCGTTGTTTCTGTTCTTCATATTTCTCAGATCCGTATCGCTCATCAGAAATTCCCTAGTTTCCTCTCTCAAGGTATGCCTTTTCTTCCTCGATTCTTCCTAATTTCTTCATATCTGTATTTTGTTCTTTTGTTTGGGTCTCTAATTTTTGTTTCGGAGTGATTATCTTTTTCAATTCATTTCGTTTGTTCTCTCGTTCGTGGAGTTGGTGATCGTATGTTGGTTTTGTGCCCTGATTCTCGAGTTTCGTTGATTGTTCATCGATCTCCCGTGTCTGATCTGTGTGCGTCACTTCCGTTAGATATGCATGTTGTATGTGACGGATCTGGAAGGTTTTCTGGCGTTTCCGCTGCTGTTTTGAATTTTTCATGTTAATCATCAATCATCGTCTAGATCTGTTGAGATGTAAAGAATTTGGATACGTGATCATCGATCTCTCTCGTCCGTTTGTTGTTTTTTGGTTCGTGTGTCGTTGCAAGTTGTGCTCTTTTTACCCTATACGCTATCTGCTGTTCTTAGTTTGTAAACCGATTTCTTGGAACCTTTGGTCCTTTACTCTCCTGGATGTTCGTGCTGACAAATTTTTGTCTGGAATTATGTCGTCAGATGCAAATCTTTGTGAAAACACTCACCGGAAAGACCATCACCCTTGAAGTCGAGAGCTCGGACACCATTGACAATGTTAAGGCAAAAATCCAGGACAAGGAAGGAATTCCTCCGGACCAGCAAAGGCTTATCTTTGCCGGAAAACAGCTCGAAGATGGCCGCACCTTGGCCGACTACAACATCCAAAAGGAGTCAACCCTCCACCTGGTTCTCCGGTTGAGAGGTGGTATGCAGATCTTCGTGAAGACTCTTACTGGCAAGACGATCACCCTCGAGGTGGAAAGCTCCGACACCATTGACAATGTGAAGGCCAAGATTCAGGACAAAGAAGGAATCCCACCCGACCAACAAAGACTCATCTTTGCCGGGAAGCAGCTGGAAGATGGCAGGACCCTTGCTGATTACAACATCCAGAAGGAATCCACCCTCCACCTCGTCCTTCGCCTTCGTGGTGGTATGCAGATTTTCGTGAAGACCCTTACTGGGAAGACCATCACCCTCGAGGTGGAGAGCTCGGACACTATTGACAATGTCAAGGCTAAGATCCAGGACAAAGAAGGGATCCCACCTGACCAGCAAAGGCTCATCTTTGCCGGGAAGCAGCTCGAGGACGGAAGAACCCTTGCGGATTACAATATCCAGAAGGAGTCCACTCTCCACCTCGTGCTCCGACTCCGTGGTGGAATGCAGATCTTTGTGAAGACACTCACGGGCAAGACCATCACTCTGGAGGTAGAGAGCTCGGACACAATCGACAATGTGAAAGCAAAGATTCAAGACAAGGAGGGTATTCCCCCGGACCAGCAGAGACTCATCTTTGCAGGGAAGCAGCTGGAGGACGGAAGAACCCTAGCGGATTACAATATCCAGAAGGAATCAACCCTTCATCTCGTGCTCCGTCTCCGTGGTGGGATGCAGATCTTTGTGAAGACATTGACGGGGAAGACGATAACATTGGAGGTGGAGAGCTCAGACACGATCGATAATGTGAAGGCGAAGATCCAAGACAAGGAGGGGATACCGCCGGACCAGCAGAGGCTCATCTTTGCAGGGAAGCAGCTGGAAGATGGTCGTACTTTGGCTGATTACAACATCCAGAAGGAGTCGACCCTTCATCTTGTTCTCCGTCTCCGTGGTGGTAACCTCTAAAAGCATATGCGGGGTGTGAAAGTGGTAATGCACTTGGAGCCGGAGGATGTGTCTCCTGGTTAAGTACCTAATTGTGTTGCGTATTTCCTTTTCTGTCTCGTGCTTTTGAACATTGATGGTAATAAATTTCCAAGTGCTCTACAATTCCTAGTACCATGGACTATAGACAATGGGTCAAAATTGAATTTGGAGTCTCTAGATACCGAAGGTTCAATCGTGGCTTAGTTCTCAATATCAGAACAGAACACGGAGACTTACTGCTAACTCTATAGACATAAACAGCAAGTATTGTACATTTGGTGCCGGCTCTATTTGCTTCCGTAGGGATTCTACGAACCCACGTAGAGAGAGAGAGAGAGAGATTAACTGGCTTGAGTTTATTGCTCGCTTCGTCGCATCTTCACTTTAAGAGACACTTCTTTGTATGATTGGATTTTGACAGCCGCTTGTCTCGAGGGTCTCCCAACAGAAATCCTCCTCGTCCCCTCTGTTTCACCGTATCCAAGAGAGTTCTTAGTTTCTTCGTCATTGTCCTTCCCGGTACCTGGTGATCGCAGTTGATTACTGAAACAAGGGTCTGTAGATTTCTGGTCGATGATTCCACCATCAGCTGCTGCATTTACTTGAGGATTAGACATCATAGAGTGTCTTCTTGTGGAGGTCCTGCCAATATCAAACCAAAGATAGCCTCACTGGTAATTCCACTGCCTGACAATGGAAGGCTGAGAAAAATTCACGAGCAACTAACAAACCTGCGTTTCCTGGTTGTCTCCTTTGTATCATGTGTGTCTGTCTCATGCCAGTTCCCAGCTGGTTGTAATAATGCTTCAGATTTAGACCCAACAGATCCTCTTCTTACAGCAGAGCGATGGCATCTGCAAGATGAATGGGCAGTTAGTTTTTTGACAGAGTATGCAAATTGACAAAAGAAGGAAAATATTAAGTATATGCTTTAACGAACCCCTCATCGCCAGTTGCCTCTTGAGCACCATCTCCATCGCTTAATTTTTCATTTGGTTTAGGTTCTTCGAAATTTGTCCTCTTGGACTGCCTCCTGACAGAGGCCCTGTTCAACTTACAGTGAAGGTAAACATGTGATCTCCATGTATTTCTGGCAACCTACATACAGGTAGTAGTAAACAGGTACAAAAATGTGCTCGTACTAACCTCCTACTTTTGGTTGCCTCTTTGAATTCATTTGTCTGATGCAAGTTATCGGATGATAATTCGGGTTGTTGGGATTTTAACCGAGCGGATTGTCTTCTCAATGGGGGCCTGTTTGAAACATCACAAGAGTAAATATAAGTTTCTTTTTCTCCATTAATCACCCAGATCTCACATTTGAAAGCTGACAAACCTTGTATTCTCCTCCATCACTTTAGCATCAGCCATCTCATGCAAGTTTTCAGTTTTTTCAGCTTCTTGACAAGCAAAGCTAGCAGACTGCCTTCGCCCACAATGCCTATACCAAAATAAACCCAGAAAGGAGATAAAAGGCACAAATAAGTTATACTTGTTTTTCTAGGATTGGAATAACTTCAAAACAAGAAAACATGGTTTAGGTTATCCGATCGCACTGATCACTGGAACCTTTTGTTATTGGTTTCCTTAACAGCGTTTGCCTCATCACGGACAAGCTTCTTGTTACCGTCTTTAGTTTGACATGTCTCTTCAGAGCTGCGGTAATTTTCTATTACTTAAGCATCAATGTTCCAGAAACTCTCCCAGAAAGAAAGCATCAAATCAAGGAATTACTTGATTGCACAGAAGTTTTTCCCAAAGACTAACAAGAAACGAAGAACAAACTTTAAGCAGAAGTAACAAGAGAGCGACTAGACCTTTTATTGGTAGTTCTCTCATTCACATGCATTGACTTGACAACGGAGCTTCCTGAAGCTGAAAGTCAAAATGATAAATGGATAGCAAGTGAACAATTTTCAAGGATTCACGAATCACAATGAACCTAAGCAGAACCAGATACATTTGATCCTTGATTGTCGTTTTCTCTTGCTATTCTTTTGATCCATGTCATCTGCCTGAAAGGATTCATAAGCCACACTAAGGACGTTTGCTCCAACCTTAAGGTCACGACGATGGAAAATAATGTGAAGATAATGCAGGATAATAGTTATAGAATCCAGTTCTAGAGGCCAAAAAGGTCAACTCTACTAACCACCTTGTCTCGGGAAGCATGATGTGTATTTAGAACTGTTCGCTCCTGGAAGGAAAAGGTAACGAATTTTCAAGTCTACCATGTGATTATTGGCAGTGAAGAACATAGAGACCAATAGATAACAGACCTCAAGCTGCATTTTTATAACTTTGAGTAACCCATTCTTGCAACCAATCTCATGCTGAAGCGCCTTCAGCTGAAAAGTGCACAGATGTTACTGAGGAACTTACAAACGGTAATCAATGAAGCACGACTGACCTTGAGAAACTCAGGTTCCAGGAGTACATACTCTGTCTTTGTTTACATTGAGCTCCTGCCAAGGATAAAGAACGAAGAAGAACATTGATTCAGTGTTTTAAGACCATAAATTCAGTAAAAAGCTCATCAACACCTCATGTCATGCATAGCCATTCAAGGTTATATGTACCGCCAACATCTGACTGTTTGCCTGCGCAAGCTGAAAATTCTGTTCCTGCATCTTCTGTAAGTTGATTCTGAGTTTCTGCAGTTCAATCCCACTCAACTCTATGATTTTACTGTAGGCAAATAAACACAAATATTAACAAAGAGATGATGTAAAAATGAGAGACATATATGTACAAACATGATGCATACTTTCTCTCTGCGAGGACTTTCATCAGTGCCACGTTTTCCTGTGAAAGAAATTAATAGACCCCGAATCAGTAAAATAAAAAATATAAAAAGTGGGAAACACCTTCCTCTATGCGAAGAAGATCATCCTTGAATGAGAGCAAACAGATTAAGTGAAAGAGAATGCCTTTTGAAGTCTTTCAGTGTATTCCTTGTAAGAGATAACTATATTATGTTGCTGCAGATTTGCCCCCTGGTTCATTACTTTAGTTTGATCCTGCAAATTGCTAATATCTGCCAATTTTCTCCTTTGCGCACTGCTGATGGACGGTTCCAGAATCATTTTCTCTCCTTTTGCACTATTATCAGGAACCCCTACAGATTTCATCGAATGAGGAAGCAAATATGAACCAAAACCCTGGATATATATAGTTATCAACCCATCATAAACAGAATCAAGACCGATGTTTAATAAGAACAGCACAGATTTAGAACAATGTCGCAACCACAACTTCCAGCAAGTGAAATGAAATCTCGAACACAAAACAAATAGCAAAAACAACAATAGACCAGGTACATAAACGCAAATCGTCACGATAATTCTGGAAATCGAACAGATAATCCACCGAAACCGGACAGATAAACCCTGAGATTACCATCTTTCTTCTTCAATTTACAAAAATTTACGACCAGAAATCGAACGCGAAGCAAGAAATTTAGAAAGAATACGAATTTCGCACCTTTTACAGCAGGATTATCAGTGTCGAGAACCATCAGTCGCACCATTGCTCAAATTGAGAGTTAGAAACCCTAACTCCTCTCTTCCCTGGTTCACTCACTCTGGATCGCGGGATTTTGAATCGAGGGGGGAAAACGATATAAAAATGTCTGATTCATTTAAAAGCTAAATAACAGGCTGTCGTTTTTTGCGTCACCGACAAATCAGATAGCTACACGTGGCTTCATGAACTTTTTTATAAAATCAAATATGATATGATATTCTATATTTTGTATATTTTTAAAATGTTACAAAAATAGTGCAAAGAAATAGATACTGTTCCAAAACAAAGTAATAAATTTCATAATGCATTTGCAATCAATGTAACATTTTTTTTTTGTTAAAGCGGTAAATGACATATTGTAAAGGGATATTTCGAAACCATGTTAAGATTCTAGTGGAATGGTTTCAAAATTTCGCTACTATTCATAATCAGTACACAAATTTTTACCAACTATTTTACCTAACGTTGTAAAACTTTAATCAAAGTTTTTGTTGAACATATCATATAACGAATAATTAAGAAAATGTTAAATTATTGAATATCGTAAACGAATTAAAAAAAAATTAGCACGATGAAATTGAATTCAAATATAAAGGATGGAGCCAACCCATTATTACTTAACGATTGAACAAACCGACCCACTGAAACTACAGGTTTGTTTAATATAGACAATATTATCCCTTAATCATTACAAAAATATTATTTATATTTTTTAAAAAATTACAAAAATATCTTTAAATTTTCTTAAAAATATATCTAATACTTATTAAATGTTATAAATATAAAATAGATCTAACATTTTTGTTGTTTTTTTTTTGTAAAATTCGGATTTGAATGTATCAACTAATGCTATATTTCAAATTCTAACACCAAAAAAAAATTAATACAAATTTAGATGTCCTAAAATTTTGAATAATCAAAATCTATAAGCATTTTCAAAACTGTCTCGGGTTTTGAAATTTATTTAAAAATTTTCCATTCTATTTTTTACGAACATTTTCCCCCTTTGACGATTTTTTTGGGATTATTATAAGTTCTACTAGTAGCTATTTGAAAGAAATGGATCGAAGCTTTTCCTTTCAACAAAGCAAGAAAACACGTAGATTATGCAACTTGTATATACGATATACCATTATCCAACACCGAAACACTTTACACACGAATGAGTTCACACGGGCAAAATACTTATGCTATATATATATATATATATATATATATATATATATTAGTTTTTTATGAAACCATATAAATATATATATGCATATATATATATATATATATCTTATCAAGATTATAGATATGTCCAAAGTAGGTACGGTGTTATAATATCGAATCTATATGCTTCATCTTGTTTTTATTCTTTGTGAATGCTTAACGTTTCATATATATGAATTAAATAATCATTAGTTCATAATTTCATTGAGAACAAATAAATGAAGTCCGGAATTTTATTCTATATTAACTTAATTAAATAACATATTGTATCATCCTTTCGCTTTTTTTTTTATAACAAAAAATAAATATCGAGAATGCCAAGTTGAGCGCAGAATCCGACCTTTTGTTTTCAGCTGCTTCCTTTTTGTTTTTCCATTTATTTATGTTTTTGTGGCCGAACTTATTGAAATAATGCATCGTTTCTTATTTTATTCGCATTTTTTTCTATTCGTTGTTTTCAACGTAGTCAACATTTTGTTTTTTTTTTTGAAAAACAAACACTCAAATTGCAAGCTAATTGTATAGGGACAAAGGAAGGTGGCGCCACCTATCTCAATCAAAACAATTATACGTTGATTTATAAATACGAAAATTACTCAATAAAATAGAAATCATCTGTTATATATATATATATATATATATATATATATTATTGGTGCAAATAATTGCGACTAATTGACCTAAATATCTCAAGCGCCAATAGACATAATCAAATGAAGAACATTATTGGTTGAATTATTTCAACATATGTCAAAATCAAACTTATTGTGTTCGTCCAACTTTTTCTATAAAATTTCAACACAACAATAATAATTACGGATATGGTAACTTTGGATGGATGATAAGTTGTTATGTATACCGGTGTGGATACAAAAGCAGGAAAAAAAAAAGAAACTAATTACCTATGTATTAGGGATTCTTGGAGTTATTTTGGGATGATATAACTTTTGGTTTTAATAACTCATTTTAAAATTAATATTGAAATACGTGATATTAAAGGATAGAGTAGATATATAAGAAATTCAATATAAAAAATACAATTATGCAAAAACAAATGATGGAAAAAAGATAGACTAAAACATAACCAAATCTAAAAAAAATAAAAATGTACATACAAATCATAACGTGGAAAAAATTTATAACGTGTATATGTGTGTGTGTGTGTGTTGAGATAGAAAGCCAAATTTTATCAAACCCTGAAACTAGTTTTTATTTAAGGAATGTCTTCACCAAAAGAGAAAAAAGGTAAAAAAAAAAAAGGTTTGCTTAAATAGAAAGCCAAGTTTGATCAAAACCCTGAAAATATATTTTCTTAATTTATTTATGCATGGAATATCTTTGGATAATAAATAACCCAATTATGACATAAGTAAACTAACTTGCATTTTTTTAAAAAAAAAAAGAAACAAAACGAGAACCAAGTGGGAGAAAAAAAGGTTGAGATTTTTGTCCAACGAATCCCACGACGAGCTTCGCTTTCAACCCACCGGCAAAGAATTTTAATCTTCAGATAAAAAAAAAGGGAATCTCCTTAAAGTAATTTTTTTTTTGTTTCATCACAAAAAAAAAAATGTAAAGATCAAACCATTACTCAAGAGTCAGAAAGAACATCACAGTATTGTTAAGATTCCATGATGTATTTGTTATTTGTCTCGTCTTCTAAATTCGTAACGGATATATATATATATATATAGATATATAGATTTCAGAGAGGGATCATCTTCGATGATGGGTTAATGCAAGATGAGAATGTCAAGTTACTGAGACACTCTGCAAAAGTAAGAATCACAGAGAGGAAAGGGAAATAGATTTAGAGAGAGAGAGTCTTTGAGGGATTTCCTCTCTCTCTCTCTCTCTCTCTCTATATCAGTCTCTGTGGATGGACTTCCTTTCTTCATCTTGAAACAACCTAGAGAGAGAGGATAACACAAAAATAAAAAGGGGAAATAAAAAACTTTGTCATCAATGGCCTCTTTTGACAAATCATTCCCACAAAACCTCGTTTGATTATATATATACACACATACCATTTGCACAATTCCCCGTAAAAATTTAACCAAATTTCAGTTCATTTGTTTCTGCTGGTCTTTTTCAGGTAGAGAGAGAGAGAGAGAGAGAGACAGAGGAGAGAAAACAGAGATTTGTAACACAAGGCACATTCATATTAATGGTGGTTCGTAAAAGGATACGCTGTTGCCTTTGCATTCTCTGGGTCTGCCTCTTGACCTCTCTCTCTCGCCAATCAAGAGCTTCTTCTTCTTCACCATCATCATCAACACCAGCTTTCTTCAACCTCTCCCTCCCTCACCAGCACCCTTTCCCTGACGATGTCGCTCTTGATGTTCAAAGGTATAATCTTTCTCATTCCTTTGTCTTTTCTTCTTTACGCTACTAAAGGTTTTACCTCCAAATTCTCTTTTTTTCCCTAGATTCTTGATCAATTTCCTTCATGGGTTTACCTCATTCTCCAATTTCATCATCTGGGTCTTTCTCATTCTCACCAGTTTTAGCCTAGATTTTGAAAAGGCTGGATTTTTACGAGATTCAAGCAAAATACCCACATCCTCTGAAACTCCTCTTTTCCCACTCTGGCATTCCCCCTTCTGTTTTCCCTCATGTTCTTAATCTAATTTTCTCAGCAACCAAACAACACCACCAACATTTTTGTTCTCTGAATGCAGAAAACTCAACAAGTCTATCTCGAGAAGACTTCTCCTCACAGACCCACAATACGGCCAGTCTCCACCTTCAGTGACTCCCTCGTGCCTCACCGGAAACCCAATCGACGACTGTTGGCGATGCGATCCTAATTGGTCCGCGACTCGCATGCGACTCGCCGACTGCTCCATCGGATTCGGCCGAGGAACACTCGGCGGCAAAGGCGGTCGATTCTACGTCGTCACCGATTCATCCGACCGCGACGCCGCCAACCCAGTCCCCGGCACACTCCGACACGCCGTGATCCAACCGGAGCCTCTCTGGATCATCTTCTCCGGCAACATGCTCATCAAACTCAGACACGAACTCATCGTCTCCAGCTACAAGACAATCGATGGCCGCGGAGCCAACATCCACATCACGGGCCATGGATGCATAACGATCCAGCAGGTGTCTCATGTCATCATCCACAATGTCCATATCCACCACTGCAAACCCTCCGGCAACACATTGATCGCTTCCTCGCCGACACACGTCGGATTCCGAGGAGTCTCCGACGGAGACGGCGTCTCGATCTCGGCGTCGCATCACATCTGGATTGACCATTGTTCACTTGGGTACTGCACGGACGGGCTCATCGACGCCATCCTCGGTTCCACCGCCATCACAATCTCCAACAGTTACTTCTCTCACCACGACGAGGTCATGCTCTTGGGGCACGACGACCGGTAAAAGGAAATCCAAAACCAAAACCAAACAAAAAAAATCAAAACCTCGATAAGGCCCCGTAAATATTTAATTGTTCCAAACAATTCCAAAACTTTTGAATTTATCAATTTAATCCACAATATTTTTTTGGGCGATCAGGTACTTGCCGGATTCGGGAATGCAGGTGACTATAGCGTTCAACCATTTCGGGGAGGCATTGGTACAGCGGATGCCGCGGTGCAGGCACGGCTACATCCACGTGGTGAACAACGATTTCACGGCGTGGGAAATGTATGCTATCGGCGGCAGCGCAAACCCTACCATTAATAGTCAGGGTAATCGCTATACGGCCCCGGCCGATCCTAATGCCAAGGAGGTATACAGATCTTTCAAATGAAACTTTAGAGTTATTGTTCTATGTAACATGATGACTTTTGTGAAAAGAAAGATGGAATATAGTCATGAATTAATCATGTTTTCCATGTTTGTGAAGATAATATGAAATCTTTGTTGGGTTGATTTTGATCGTTTTAAGATATATTTTTTTTTTTATAGTATTGCTCATGTAGCTTTTTCTGGCGCGGGTATATTTTATTTTTTATTATTTAGTTTAATTTCCTCTATTCCGTGGTCCCCCGGGCCCAGATGCACCGACGGCGCGTAGTTGCACGCGCCGTCGGGGATTGGTTTTTTTAAAGTGCATGTACATCTTCTTCTTGTCGCCATGTTATCCGCATCTTCTAACGCACCCATTATAAATAGTTTGAATATGTCAAACTCGATAGTTTTGATATTTTTTTTTTTGTAAAGGTGACGAAGCGGGTGGACACGGACGAGAGAAAGTGGTCGGGATGGAACTGGAGGACGGAGGGAGACATGATGGTGGACGGCGCGTTTTTCGTGCCGTCGGGGGATGGTCTGGCCAACCAGTACGCCCGAGCCACTAGCCTCCACCCCCAGGCCGCCGCTCTCATCGACCAACTCACCTTCAACGCCGGCGTCTTCGGCGATCCCAGGTATCCTCATTATCTTATTCTCAAAAATCCTAAATAAATGTATGAATTTATTATCAACCTGTGGATTAATACAGAATTTTCGAAGATTATATAGAATTTTACAAATATTCCCAAAAAAAACTACATATTAAACAATTAAAATCTTGTAAAATTCATGAGTTTAGCTATGAGTAAAAAAATTGTACATTTTCCTCGAAATTTTAATTTTTTCCGTATCAATTTGAGAGTGATAATCCTAAAAATTATAAAATTTTAAGCCTTCTTGTGTGCACGTGTCTCGCACGTGGGCGGAGAGATCTAAACCTCTAAAAGACCGAAGACCAAAAAGCCCTTCAATGTCTAATATCGAAGATGCTTTTCTTTGACATATTTATTTGCCTTTGCGCTTCTGCATGCAATTTTTTTTTCCTTCCTTAAAAGATTCATTTCCTTTGTGACCTAACAGACGATCTTCATCCATTTTAGGGTTTTCCTTAGACAAACTTGGTATATCTCTAAACCCCGATTTCACCCCTAAATATTCGATTTCATCCCTAAATATAACCTAATTCTTAATTAGCAGTTTCAGAGTTTAGAGTTTATTAATCAGGGGTTAATATCTTTTTTTTTTCAAAGGTGATTATTATTGGATAAAGCGAGGAAAGCTTGACTTTTTATGTATGAATGGTTGGATATATAACAAAAAAAGGGTATTTAACATGTACACATGCAAGGGTTTAGATTCTCTTTCGATCTGCTTTCCAGAAAAAAAAAAGTAACTGGTGGGACCCTCGAGTGAAGATTATAAGTATATATTCGAGTCATGAAATGTGGAACCCACATTGTGCGTATATTATATGTATATATATATATGCATATGCAGCTCATGTAATAGTAGAAGATGGTAAAATAGCATTTCACCATCCCTTTTTGCAAAAGCAAAAGATTGGGAAATGTGGGTAGGGATTCTCTTAGCCACTCTTTTGCTATAAAGTTTGATATTCCACGTCGGATGAAAATTCCTAAAATATCTTAGAGACCTTTTGGTTATTTCTAATTACTACTTTTTCGCGCCATCCTACGTCCACATTTTCTAGTTTCGTCTGTTCATGCAAATATGAAATGGTTCGACAATGAAACTGCATTGCTATTAGTCATTTTCGGTCGCTATCGGCGTATTTATTTTTTTAGTGGTTTGATAGTAAAGGGAAACTCACAAAGTCGCATGTGGCCTAACAACTTGTTTTCATTTTCCTTTTTCCTTTTTTTCTTCAACTTTAGAGACTTTTATATCGATTCCTCCGTTTCGTCAGAGAATCACATCACTGTTATTGTCTGTTTAACAAAAAAAAAAAAAACAATACTATTTCATATGTATAACACAAAATAAATTTACATTCACAATTTAATTCATTGATTACAGTGGGAGAAACGGCCAAGGTGTGGCAGTTCCCGGTTACACCGGCGATGGAGGTACCGCAACCACCGGACGCAGCAAAGGCGGTCTCGGTGGCGGCGGTGGCGGCGGAGACAGCGACAGCGATCCTTTCTCGATGATTTTCGGGATCGGTGCATCGTCACGACATACTTCGAGTTCAAACCACTTGTTATCGAATCTTATTATTACTGTCATAGTTTTGTATGTTTTACACCAAGCAAGATGATGATTTCAATCTTGCTCAAGTGGGTACAAAGGAACCCGACAAAAAAGCGAAGAGAATATAGAGTCTCTATATATAATACATATATATATATACACACATACACACATCTTCAAGTTGTAGAATGTATCTTTGTTTGATGGGTAGCAGCTTTTGGTCCATGTTCACAGTTGGAGGAATATGCTTCTTACCAATATCGAAGAGTCGAATTTTATGGAAGAAAAGACAGGAAATTAAAATAGAAAAGAAGAAGAAAGATTTGGAAGGTGAGGGATAGGAGTGGTGGCGGCCATTTAGGTGCCAAGTCCATTTCAAGTTTGTTCTCTTCTTTTTAATTAATTAATTAATTAATGTTGAAGCCATCGTTTCTAAAAGTCTTTATATATATATATATATATATATATATATA